ATTTTAGTCAAATAATTTTTCAGAATAAAAAAGAAGAGTTGACAAATAAGAATATATTAGTATTAAAAGAAGAATATTTTATTATTATGTAGAGCAGATTTTTATTCGGAAGAATTAATCCACTAAAGGTTTATTACTTAATACATCTGAAAATCAAATAAAATTTAATTAATTAGAAATATTTTAGTCAAATAATTTTTCAGAATAAAAAAGAAGAGTTGACAAATAAGAATATATTAGTATTAAAAGAAGAATATTTTATTATTATGTAGAGCAGATTTTTATTCGGAAGAATTAATCCACTAAAGGTTTATTACTTAATACATCTGAAAATCAAATAAAATTTAATTAATTAGAAATATTTTAGTCAAATAATTTTTCAGAATAAAAAAGAAGAGTTGACAAATAAGAATATATTAGTATTAAAAGAAGAATATTTTATTATTATGTAGAGCAGATTTTTATTCGGAAGAATTAATCCACTAAAGGTTTATTACTTAATACATCTGAAAATCAAATAAAATTTAATTAATTAGAAATATTTTAGTCAAATAATTTTTCAGAATAAAAAAGAAGAGTTGACAAATAAGAATATATTAGTATTAAAAGAAGAATATTTTATTATTATGTAGAGCAGATTTTTATTCGGAAGAATTAATCCACTAAAGGTTTATTACTTAATACATCTGAAAATCAAATAAAATTTAATTAATTAGAAATATTTTAGTCAAATAATTTTTCAGAATAAAAAAGAAGAGTTGACAAATAAGAATATATTAGTATTAAAAGAAGAATATTTTATTATTATGTAGAGCAGATTTTTATTCGGAAGAATTAATCCACTAAAGGTTTATTACTTAATACATCTGAAAATCAAATAAAATTTAATTAATTAGAAATATTTTAGTCAAATAATTTTTCAGAATAAAAAAGAAGAGTTGACAAATAAGAATATATTAGTATTAAAAGAAGAATATTTTATTATTATGTAGAGCAGATTTTTATTCGGAAGAATTAATCCACTAAAGGTTTATTACTTAATACATCTGAAAATCAAATAAAATTTAATTAATTAGAAATATTTTAGTCAAATAATTTTTCAGAATAAAAAAGAAGAGTTGACAAATAAGAATATATTAGTATTAAAAGAAGAATATTTTATTATTATGTAGAGCAGATTTTTATTCGGAAGAATTAATCCACTAAAGGTTTATTACTTAATACATCTGAAAATCAAATAAAATTTAATTAATTAGAAATATTTTAGTCAAATAATTTTTCAGAATAAAAAAGAAGAGTTGACAAATAAGAATATATTAGTATTAAAAGAAGAATATTTTATTATTATGTAGAGCAGATTTTTATTCGGAAGAATTAATCCACTAAAGGTTTATTACTTAATACATCTGAAAATCAAATAAAATTTAATTAATTAGAAATATTTTAGTCAAATAATTTTTCAGAATAAAAAAGAAGAGTTGACAAATAAGAATATATTAGTATTAAAAGAAGAATATTTTATTATTATGTAGAGCAGATTTTTATTCGGAAGAATTAATCCACTAAAGGTTTATTACTTAATACATCTGAAAATCAAATAAAATTTAATTAATTAGAAATATTTTAGTCAAATAATTTTTCAGAATAAAAAAGAAGAGTTGACAAATAAGAATATATTAGTATTAAAAGAAGAATATTTTATTATTATGTAGAGCAGATTTTTATTCGAAAGAATTAATCCACTAAAGGTTTATTACTTAATACATCTGAAAATCAAATAAAATTTAATTAATTAGAAATATTTTAGTCAAATAATTTTTCAGAATAAAAAAGAAGAGTTGACAAATAAGAATATATTAGTATTAAAAGAAGAATATTTTATTATTATGTAGAGCAGATTTTTATTCGGAAGAATTAATCCACTAAAGGTTTATTACTTAATACATCTGAAAATCAAATAAAATTTAATTAATTAGAAATATTTTAGTCAAATAATTTTTCAGAATAAAAAAGAAGAGTTGACAAATAAGAATATATTAGTATTAAAAGAAGAATATTTTATTATTATGTAGAGCAGATTTTTATTCGGAAGAATTAATCCACTAAAGGTTTATTACTTAATACATCTGAAAATCAAATAAAATTTAATTAATTAGAAATATTTTAGTCAAATAATTTTTCAGAATAAAAAAGAAGAGTTGACAAATAAGAATATATTAGTATTAAAAGAAGAATATTTTATTATTATGTAGAGCAGATTTTTATTCGAAAGAATTAATCCACTAAAGGTTTATTACTTAATACATCTGAAAATCAAATAAAATTTAATTAATTAGAAATATTTTAGTCAAATAATTTTTCAGAATAAAAAAGAAGAGTTGACAAATAAGAATATATTAGTATTAAAAGAAGAATATTTTATTATTATGTAGAGCAGATTTTTATTCGGAAGAATTAATCCACTAAAGGTTTATTACTTAATACATCTGAAAATCAAATAAAATTTAATTAATTAGAAATATTTTAGTCAAATAATTTTTCAGAATAAAAAAGAAGAGTTGACAAATAAGAATATATTAGTATTAAAAGAAGAATATTTTATTATTATGTAGAGCAGATTTTTATTCGGAAGAATTAATCCACTAAAGGTTTATTACTTAATACATCTGAAAATCAAATAAAATTTAATTAATTAGAAATATTTTAGTCAAATAATTTTTCAGAATAAAAAAGAAGAGTTGACAAATAAGAATATATTAGTATTAAAAGAAGAATATTTTATTATTATGTAGAGCAGATTTTTATTCGGAAGAATTAATCCACTAAAGGTTTATTACTTAATACATCTGAAAATCAAATAAAATTTAATTAATTAGAAATATTTTAGTCAAATAATTTTTCAGAATAAAAAAGAAGAGTTGACAAATAAGAATATATTAGTATTAAAAGAAGAATATTTTATTATTATGTAGAGCAGATTTTTATTCGGAAGAATTAATCCACTAAAGGTTTATTACTTAATACATCTGAAAATCAAATAAAATTTAATTAATTAGAAATATTTTAGTCAAATAATTTTTCAGAATAAAAAAGAAGAGTTGACAAATAAGAATATATTAGTATTAAAAGAAGAATATTTTATTATTATGTAGAGCAGATTTTTATTCGAAAGAATTAATCCACTAAAGGTTTATTACTTAATACATCTGAAAATCAAATAAAATTTAATTAATTAGAAATATTTTAGTCAAATAATTTTTCAGAATAAAAAAGAAGAGTTGACAAATAAGAATATATTAGTATTAAAAGAAGAATATTTTATTATTATGTAGAGCAGATTTTTATTCGGAAGAATTAATCCACTAAAGGTTTATTACTTAATACATCTGAAAATCAAATAAAATTTAATTAATTAGAAATATTTTAGTCAAATAATTTTTCAGAATAAAAAAGAAGAGTTGACAAATAAGAATATATTAGTTTGAATCTGAGTTATGCACTCATTAACATAATCCTATTACTTTTTTACATATTTCAGTACTAGAATTCAGACCTATTTAGACCTAGAGAATTTAACCTATGTATTCTAATATATTTTTGTTCAGAACCATCGAATCAAACTGAGTTTGTTATCAGTCGTCAGAAATTGTCGAGCTCTTTCAAATGCCCATTCGAATTTTTCATCCAAAACCTGCTTGGTCGCTCCTGTTGTATTTCCAGAGGTCTATAATCCGGTCCAGGAATGTCGGATCTACTCATTCGCAATTATTTTATTCAGATTTCTGAGCTCTTTCGAATGACACTATTCGACTAAATCTATCGATAAACGAAAAACTCTTATAAGTCCCGTTCTTCAAACAACACCACCGTTTTAATTCATTTATTAATAAAGTTGTCAATTGAGCTTGGACGTATTTGGGGTTCTGTAGCAGCAAAAATCTCCACAGATGCCATAGGTAAGGAGCTAAAATAAAAGATCATAACTTTGTCAAATCAAGTCGGATTTCGTTGATTTTGGTGTCATTCAACTCAGCTCGACAAGCTCTTTCGAATGAGATATTATTTGCATATTCGAATTTTTCGCCCCAAAAAAGTGCTTGGTCCCCCCTTTGGTTTTTCGGTTTTCAAGGACCTATATCTCGGCTCGTAGGAATTTCCGCAAAAAAAGAGTGGTACCATTCGACTCAGCTCGCCGAGACGAATCGAATGGTATATAATTTGATGTTTCGTTTTGTTTCGTTTCGCTAAATTTTTACTGTTTCGTTTCGTTAACGAATCGATTTTAAAAAATTTTGTTTCGTTTCGTCTGAAAAAATTTTGGAGGGTACAGCCCGAATTGTCGCGGGCCAACTTGTCGCGGCCGACTTGTCGCGACCGACTTGTCGCCGGCCAACTTGTCGCGGGGCCAACTTGTCGCCGGCCGAATTGTCGCCAAGCTTTTTAATTAAATCTTCTGATTATAATCAATTAGCGAAAAAATAAAACAGATCTAAAAATTCCAGTCTCTGATTCATAACATCTGTATTTGTCCGGGATTACAGAATCGATCTATTTTCAGGATTTGGAGGAACACATAACTGAAGCCGTTATGGTAATATTTTTCGCAATTTCTTTGTGAACTATGAAGCGTAATAGAAGCTAAATAAATATTAAATTGTTTATTAACAATATAAAAAAATTAATCAGATAGTATTTTACAAAATATTTAATAAAAAGCTTGGTATTTTAGTAGTATTCTATAGAAATTTAATTAAAAAGCTTGGCGACAATTCGGCCGGCGACAAGTTGGCCCCGCGACAAGTCGGTCGCGACAAGTCGGCCGCGACAAGTTGGCCCGCGACAATTCGGGCGTGTCCCAATTTTGGAGTTTCGTGCATGTCTGATCCCGTCAGGACCGTATTTGTGAAGCGTCTCACCTGATATACCCTCTCACAAACTGTATAATTTATAAATCGATCATTTGTATTTAAAATGAATCGTTTCTTTATTGATGCACTTATTGAACGATTCCACAGGGAATTGAGCGAAACCGAGGTAGATAGAACTCAAATGAGTCCGCATAAAAAGTCGCAAAAACTACATTGAGATAACCAATAAATACCAAAAAATCTAAAATTTTATAGAGGTAAAAATAAAAAAAACATTCACGTAACACAAGCCTCTTTTACTTAATTTCTCTATCCTAATTATAAAAAAAAATATTCTTCAACAATATATTTATTCTCTTCCTTCTTATTTCTTGCCTTCTTCCTCAATATATTTTATCAGATCCGCACGCTCATCAGCCTTCTTCAGCCCAGCAAATATCTTTAAAATTTAGAAAAAATAAATTATTTAATAAATCCCAGTTTAAACAAAGGAACGGTATTTGAAGCCGTAATACCAAACCTCCAAAAAAACCACCCCGAAATACCAAAATGTGGATTGTTAACAATTTTTCAAGTTGATGGAGCAACCTTCACCTTAGTTGAGACAACCTTCTACATTCGGGTATTTTGCAGTTTTTGAGGTTAGGCATTACGGCGTTTGGTATTATGAACTCTCCCCAAAGAGAACATCGTTTACTGATACAGAAATTGTATTCTCTGCTACTATTAGATAGAGGACCCTCAATTTCCTATAGTGAAATGAATTCCTTTTTGTTGCAAAAACGAATTTAGGGCGAGTTATGACCAGTCAAAGTTTTGGTCTTTTACGAGCATTTTTTGATGAACAAAAACCCCAGAAAATCCTAATCAAACAGTTAAAATAAACTAACCATCTTAGTGCCAGGAATATACTTTTTAGGATTCAGCAAGTACTCGAACAACGTCTCACGAGTCCAAACCACTCCCTTTAAATTAATTTTTAAATTTAAAATGTTATTAATTAAAAAAAAAAAACTTTGTTCTTATTAGCAGCGGAGTAATCAAAACCAGGAACCGATCCACTCTTGCGACCAATAACACCCTTCAATGTTGGCCCAGTCTTGGCAGCATCCGAATCGATGACCTGAAATAAATTTAAATATTAGGAGAGGGGGAAGAAAATTCTTATTGTTAGTCATTAGGTTAGGCCGCTCCCTAGGACATCACACCACCATAACACTTTGGTACACCTACTTAAAATTAAACCAAAAACAGCCCCATCCAGTGAGGACACCGTAAAGAACCCGGGAAGTCGCTTAACACATACAATAACACTAAATCTCTAAACAAGTCCCCACAATGTTTAACAAAAAATCAAAATAAACCGCACATGGCATTGAAAACACCTCGCCTTGAAAATCTTCTTTCCCTTCTCGTAATCACCCTCAGGAATATTTTCAGCCATTCTTTGTTGGACGATTTAAAGCAAATTTACTGGAAAACTTTAAAAAATTTAATTATGAGTAAAACGAAGAAATTCATTGAAAAAGAAACAATTTTTAAAAATAAATTTAAAATTATTCAACAAAATTTATCCTTTCTTTTCAACAACAAAATAACTCTCAACACTCAAAAGACAACAAAAAATTAATTCAAGCAAAATGTGTCTTCGGCTTTTGCGTCGTAAACGGAGTCATCTTTCGACGTTTGTCATTCACACGATGCGGCAAAGGAAACTTGATTGAAGAGTTGTGGAACTGTTTAACTCCAGTACGTTTGCAGTCGGCAGCCTTGATCGGTTGAACCTTGATTATTTGGATTCGATCGGCTTGAGCTCGATGACGAGCACCCATGTCGCGATAAGCCTGGGTAACAGCACCCGCCATTGTCACATCACGGTATTCGCGGTACATGTTGTGATGACCAGTTCGAGAGTCATAACGAAGCCAAATTCCATAATTCTTTACAGAGCCTATCTTCTTTTCGAAAACCTTGAAATTTAAAAAATGGGGAAAGGTTGAAGGATGAACTGATCATGAGTGGAGGGTGATATGAGAAATATATGGCGTGAGTCTTAAAAGAACTGAGCCACCATAAAAATTAAAGTTAGAGAACGGATGATGAAATAATCACCACCACCAAATAATCGCCACCACCCCGATATCATTTGTCTTGTTAGTTAACCCCTTGCCACCCTTGATGCCCTACTCAGTGTCCCTGTGTTTGTAAACAGGACCATCAGCAAACTAGTGTTTAGACAAGCTGGGGCAAACCCAAATAAACAACACAAACCTCTTGACACGAAACAATCTCTCCATTAGTCTTCTTAACACGACGCAACATACTAGTAAAGTACCAGAAACGCGATTTAGCAACAACATGATTGCTGGCAAAAATTTGCATTTTGTAGAGTTTTGGATTTGGCTCATTCTCTGTAGGAAGTTTACGGCCAATAACGATGTACTGCCTCAACTGGAAATTAAAAATAATGCTAGTTCTACAAAAAAATTAACCGTTTCTCCAGATGCTTTAATCGGCATTCTCAAATGTTCAGCTTCAAAAGCGCAAGAAAATTAAAATCAGAACTTAAAAAGAAACAAAATTAAACAAAAAAATAACAAAATACAACACTCAAAGAATAGAAAATTCAAGAATAAAAAAAATGCAAGATTAAAATTTACTAAAATAATTAATTTTGGCATTATGTTTTAATTAATTTTGGCATTATGTTTTAATTAATTTTCCTTTTTTTCTTTTCCCATACTCTCTCTTTTCTTGTTTTCTAATTTTTTCTTTTTGCTAATTTACTTTTATTTTGCCAAACTTTTATTTTGCCAATAAGTCAATAGATTTATATTTCGTCACAATTAGTCTGCCAACAAACTTTTTGACAAAACGTGGGTTTAGCCATGTTGGCAAAATACTAGGAAGTCATCTTTTCTTCAAGTTTCTTTTCAAGTCTTTTACATCGGATCCGTGTCAAGTTCTTTTCAGTTTTGAAGATTCTCAGGTGTACCTTTTAATACATCAGAGAAGAGGCTTTCGCCTCCATATTTTGCCATCTCCGTTTTTTCTTAATGAGAGTTGTTCTATTGTTCTGTTTCTTTTATTGTTATCTTCTATCGGCACTTCTTGCCTTGTACACTACGTTTACATCGGATCCGTGTCGAGTGTTGAGGTGCGCTTGACGCTCGACAAAACGCTCAACAGAACGCTTGATACGGATGTCAATGTAAACGCAGCCTTGTTTTCTATTTTTTAAAAGAGATTTTATAGTCAAAAAGACTTGTTCATCGTTATTAAAATTTAAATTTCCTCGCATTGTTTAATTTTTCTAGCAAATTGGCATAGTGTTTATTAACGTCTCTCTTTCTCTCTCAATCTTCTACAGTATTTTCTATCGGCTGACTATAAAAGCCTTCTTCTATATAAAAGTTTCTCCCACTTCCTTACAACTCCCTCCATTATTCTAAATACTTTTAGCCTTCCAAAAAGATTTTCTTCGTTTGTTTTATTGTCGCTGTTGGCCTATTTTGTGGTTCCCGTTCTATACACAAAAACAAATCTCTTCGACGTTTCTTGTTTGACGGTTCTTGTTTATTCTACAACAAAGAAAGGTAAAATACAAAAATAATTTTGTAACTCTTTAGAAATTTTCTTTGTTTTTTAGATGTCTACTCCGGTCAAAATTTCTTTTATTTGGGAAGTCAGAAACATGTCCAAGATTCTGGATACTGTCGGACTTGGAGAAGAACTTTTGCTAACAAGTATACTATTTTTTGTTAAATTAAAAAATTTTCCTTTTGTTCAGGTGAAACATTCGCATCGCCTGAATTACCTGAACTTGGTTGGAAAATCGTGTTGAAAATTTGCAGCTCCGTTGGTTATGTTTACCTCGAACAAATGGGAAAACAAAACTTCAACGGTCTAGTCGCCACCAAATACAAACTGTTCGTGGTTAACTTTGGAAGCGAAATTTTGTTAACACGGTAGCGTAGACTGATCTTTACAATAAATTTTCATTCATAATTTAAGATCAACCAAACTTTTTGAGGATCAAACCAAATTGGGTTTCAGAGCGATAAATGTTCAGCAATTGATGGAGTTTGGTTAGTTTACTAAAAAAAATTTGTAAAAATAAATCTAAAATTTTTAGATGTTTTAAGGATTCAGTGCAAACTTGAGGTGGATCCTCCTTACGACAGAACCAAAAACTTTATAGCCTCTTGTAGCCAAATGTACGAAAACCAAAAATTCACCGATTGCGTGATTTTGGTAGGAGTTAATTTAACAATTAAAAAATAAAATTTATTTTTTAAGATTCAAGGAGTCTCTATTAGTGCGCATCGCTGTATTCTAGCAAAAAGTGTTGTGCTTCAGGAGATGTTAGAACAAAGTGCGGACTCTATGGATATGGTATATTATTTGAAGTTTGATTAAATTTTGTGGAATGTAGTAAGATTCCTGGCTTTTTTTGGGTATTACCATGGACCCGAAATTTAAAAGGAGACTAAAAATTGATTTAAAAATTGATTGAAATTCATACTTTAATTGTAAATTCAGGTTCAGAAAATCTCAATTCCTAACGCAAAACCGGAACATGTTCGAGGATTGCTTGAATTTTTGTACACCGGAGAGATAAACAAAGGACTTTTGGAGAATCATGTGGAGGAAATCTTTGTTTTGGCACATAAATATAAAGTAGAATCGTTAAAATCTGTATGCGAAATGTTCATGTCGAGCGTGATTAGTAAGGAATTTTTTGAAAATTTTTTGGGGCTATTTTTTGGGGATCCGAAATTGTTTATTTTGAAGGGGCGAGGGACTAAAAAGCCTTAGTTTAAAATTCAGGGGGGAATATTAAATTTGTGAATTATGATAATATTTTAAAATATTTTTTTCCAGATAATAACAATATTGTCAACTATTGCCGTTTAATCGATTCATTTGGCGCTCCAATTCTTGAGAAGGTAAAATTAACAGAATATTCTTCTTTTACCAATATTATTTTCAGGCTATCGTATGTTATATTCGTGGACACGATGCATTTCTTCAAACGGAAGGTTGGAAATTGGCGAGGGATGCTTGCCCACAATTGGGGTCTCGAATTCTTGAAGCAGTTATTCTAGATAAATAAATATATAGATATAGAGTTTTGTGTGTATAGGAAACGTAAGAGGTGTCGAAAAACCTAACTGCCTTAAAAATTCGAAAATAATTTTTTTTGAAAATAAAAAATCTGAAATTTGACAAATTTTCGCAAATCCTAAAAAAATTTTTTTTTCGAAAATTAAAATTTCGATTTACCTCTTACTTTAAATAAAAAATAAATTTAGTATTGTATGTGTTGTTCTCTATTTCCTTAAAGCAATATCTTGATAATTATTTTCTTTTTTGGTTGTAATAAATTTTCTCGTGTTTGATGCCTTTAAATTTGTCAAAGATTTCTGAAATATTTCTGTTCTAGGTAAAATGCATGACAACTTGATATTTTCCTTTCTTTTTTTACTGGGCATCTTTCCCAAGTTTTTGATGTTTGTCATTTTTGTCTTCAGAAAGAATTGTGCAAAAGGGGTACTTTAAAATTTCAGAAACATTTTAAATTTTGAAAATCGGATCAGAATTGATCGAGACATCCCTTCCCTCAAAACCATACAAATGTCGACTTTCCACCCAATTCTCATACCAAAAAATTTATATAATTTTATAGAGGTAAAAATTAAAAAAACATTCACGTAATACAAGCCTCTTTTACTTAATTTCTCTATCCTAATTATAACAAAAAGTATTCTTCAACAATATATTTTTTCTCTTCCTCTTTATTTCTTGCCTTCTTCCTCAATATATTTTATCAGATCCGCACGCTCATCAGCCTTCTTCAGCCCAGCAAATATCTTTAAAATTTAGAGAAAAATTATTTAATAAATCCCAGTTTAAACAAATGAACGGGCCTTAATACTAAACTGCCAAAAAAGCGCCCCGAAATACCAAAATGTGGATTGTTAACAATTTTTCACGTTGGTGATGTCACCTTTGCCGAGACAACCCTCTAAACTCGAATATTTTTTGCATGTTTTTGGGATTGATATTAAGGCGTTTGGTATTATTGGCACGCTCCCCAAAGAGAACATCGTTTACTGATACAGAAATTTGCATTGATCCTTGGTACTAACCGATAGAGGACCCTCAATTTCCTATAGTGAAATGAATTCCTTTTTGTTGCAAAATGAATTTAGGACGAGTTAGGGCCAGTCAAAGTTTTGGTTTTTTAGGAGCATTTACGAGCATTTTTTGATGAACAAAAACCCCAAAAAATCCTAATCAAACAGTTAAAATAAACTAACCATCTTAGTGCCAGGAATATACTTTTTAGGATTCAGCAAGTACTCGAACAACGTCTCACGAGTCCAAACCACTCCCTTTAAATTAATTTTTAAATTTAAAATGTTCTTAATTAAAAAAAAATAAAACTTTGTTCTTATTAGCAGCGGAGTAATCAAAACCAGGAACCGATCCACTTTTGCGACCAATAACACCCTTCAATGTTGGCCCAGTCTTGGCAGCATCCGAATCGATGACCTGAAAGAAATAATTTAAATTTTAAATATTAGAAGAGGGGGAAGAAAATTATTGTTAGTCACCAGAATAGGCCGCACCCTAGGGCATAACACTTAACATACCCCCTTAACACTAAACCACAAAACAGCTCCCTTTAGAGAGGACACCGTAAAGGACCCGGTGAGCCACTTAACACATCCACTAACATTAAATTCTAAACAAGTCCCCCGAAAAAATTAATAAAATTAAACCGTACATGGCATTGAAAACACCTCGCCTTGAAAATCTTCTTTCCCTTCTCGTAGTCACCCTCAGGAATATTTTCAGCCATTCTTTGTTGGACGATTTAAAGCAAATTTACTGGAAAACTTTAAAAAATTTAGTTTTGATTAAAACGAATAAAAAAAATTCATTGAAAAAGAAACAATTTTTAAAAATAAATTTAAAATTATTCAACAAAATTTATCCTTTCTTTTCAACAACAAAACTCTCAACATTCAAAAGACAACAAAAAATTAATTCAAGCAAAATGTGTCTTCGGCTTCTGCGTCGTAAACGGAGTCATCTTTCGACGTTTGTCATTCACACGATGCGGCAAAGGAAACTTGATTGAAGAGTTGTGGAACTGTTTAACTCCAGTACGTTTGCAATCGGCAGCCTTGATCGGTTGAACCTTGATTATTTGGATTCGATCGGCTTGGGCACGATGACGAGCTCCCATGTCGCGATAAGCCTGAGTGACAGCACCAGCCATTGTCACATCGCGGTATTCGCGGTACATGTTGTGATGACCAGTTCGAGAGTCGTAACGAAGCCAAATTCCATAATTCTTTACAGATCCTATCTTCTTTTCGAAAACCTTGAAAGAAAAAAATTGGGGAAAGGTTGAAGAATGAACTGATCAATGAATGGGAGGGTGATATGGGAAATAGATGGCGTGAGTCTTAAAAGAACCGAGTCACCATAAAAATTAAAGTTAGAGAACGGATGATGAAATAAGGCAGGTCAACCCAGTTCGCTACCACCTCCGATAACCTATCTTGTTAGTTAACCCCTTTGACAACCTTGATTCCCTACTCGGTGCCCATGTGTTTGTAAACAGGAATATCAACAAACTAGTGTTTAGACAACCTGAGGTAGACACAAACAAAAACCCAAACCTCTTGGCACGAAACAATCTCTCCATTAGTCTTTTTTACACGACGCAACATACTAGTAAAGTACCAGAAACGCGATTTAGCAACAACATGATTGCTGGCAAAGATTTGCATTTTGTAGAGTTTTGGATTTGGCTCATTCTCTGTAGGAAGTTTACGGCCAATAACGATGTACTGCCTCAACTGGAAATTAAAAATATTGCGAAATGTTACGAAAAATTAACCGTTTCTCCAGATGCTTTAATCGGCATTTTCAAAAGTTTAGCTTCAAAAGCGCAAGAAAATTAAAATCAGAACTTAAAAGGAAACAAAATTAAACAAAAAAATAACAAAAAGTTACAAACGAGAAATAGAAAATTCAAGAATGAAAAATGCAAGATTAAAATTTTACTAAATTAATTAATTTTGGCATTATGTTTTAATCAATTTTCTTTTTTTCTTTTCCCATACTCTCTCTTTTCTTGTTTTCTAATTTTTTCGTTTTCGGGGCCGCCCAATTAGGCGCGCGGCCATAACGGCGCAAAGCCATAACTTGCTGGAAAATTTATGGCCCTTAATAATTTTGGTACCAATCTCTTTAGCTCGATGAGTGGAAGCGTTTAATACTAAATCTGTTAGGGTTAAGAAATCTTGAAGCAGGTTATCGCTTTGCGCCGTTATGGCCGCGCGCCTACTTGGGCTGTGCCCTTCCTTTCATAATTTTTCTACTTATTTTGCCAAACCTATATTTCGCCAATAGGTAAAACTACAATCATTTGGCAACAAACTTTTTGACAAAACGTTTGTTTAGTAGCCATTTGGGCAAAATATAATGTTGGCAAAATACTAGGAAGTCATCTTTTCTTCAAGTTTCTTTTCAAGTCTAAGCTTTCTTGATTTATTATTTGTTGATATTTAGGGTTGTTTCTGACGAGACAGAACAGAATTTTAACAACTTTTATTTTATTTCCAGTGATTTTAAACTATGAAAAATTTAATTCGTTATTTGCACACTTCATCAACGCTTTGTTCAACAAATTTCAAACAATTTCAACTTAATCCTCAAAGATGGCGAATTGAAGTTTCACTCGTTATTTACCGGTTACCGATAATTGCTCCTCCAATGACTGAAGCTGAAAGGAATTTTGCTCAATTGTCTGAAGTCAGGGAAAACCAAACGTCCTATAAATGTGATTTTGAATTGGAACTGGAAAAGGATGCGATGTAAGTAATTTAGAATTTTTGGGAAATTAGAACGTTCTGGGCACTAGAGATCGGTATTGTTCGAATCCACATCTTGGGTTTATATGACTCATGGTCAAAAATCTGGTCTAGATCGGCAACTTGGATCAAGAGTCCAGACAAGGGTGGCTCTTTCCAAATTACCAAAAGCAGGCATGGGCTCCCAGAAAGGGGGTAAAAAGTGGCCACCCTGAGTCCAGGTCAAGGTTTTTTAAATTTAATTTGGGCTCCGTTTTGGATTTCTTTTAACAATATTCTTGGGTCTTGGGTCGGACGTCACCCGTCATTATTGGTTTGGCTTTAATGTTTTAATTTATTCAAATTATTCTTAAAGTCTCTTGGAAAAGCGCAAAAAGATGGAAGCTGAAGGAAAGGATCTCAGTCATCTAGACCAACAATTGGGCGTTTCAAGCGTTCAAAAGCGCATTGAATGGAGTGAAAAGGCACAGAAGCTTATTGAGAAGTACAATCTTGATAATCCCCCAACCAATGCTTCTATGGATTTTAAATGTTTAAAACGCAATTTGGATAGGAAATTGGTGCTAGCTGTCAGACAAAAATTTGAAGATGCTCATACTGATGAATACGTCTCCCCTTGGATTTTACCTCAGTTAATGAACAAAAAAGGAGAGACTTTAAAAGAGGTTTTTATTTTAGATAATATTTTTAATGAAAAAAATCTCAATTTTTAAGACTGCCCTCAGATTGCTTTCTTTATCATTGCCTTCAGAGGATACCAAAAATCCCTTTCCGTTTGAATTTCAAATGTATGGAAATGCACCAATAGCGCATTATTTATACAAATATACAAAAACGATGCAGGATAGGCTTGGATTTGATGGGTCTATTGTATGTTTTAATAAACCTTATAGTTAGGCAAATGAATCGTACTTATTTTTAGGTCAATTTTAGAGTTACCCTACGATGTAGGGTCACTTCAGGAACATTAAGAAATTTTGATCAGATTAACATAAGTTTTTGGATGCCTTCCTTTGGAGATATTCTGAGATTTTCCTATACCAAGCGTTGGAATAAGCATTTTCTCTTGGGGTTTCCTGGACTCCTATTCCAATATCCCTGCTATTATGTACCGAATAAAACTTGGATTCTTCTCCCAACTAATAATTTCTAAAAATTTTTATTCTTCCAGATTTTCTTTTACCCTGCCCAAATTCTTCATTCAAACAAAGCAATTAATTCTTGGACAGAAGTTGGGTTTAACCCCAATAAAATTGCTGATTACAAATGGTGTACTGGAGAAGAATTTGACAAACTTGTTGGTGATAGAAATTATAGGAATGCTTTCAAATCTGTTTTTGTTGAATAATAATAAATGTTTTTTTAATTTACTTTGATTCTTTTCAACTCGTTTACTTTCGAGATTTTTATTTTTTAATTTTTTTGCTATTTTTTCGCAATTTCCGCAACATTTTATAATTGAGAAACTTGAGTTTTAATACTTTATAGAGGTAAATAAAATTTAGTTGGCCGCTGTGTGGTAAGCAGTGAGGTCACATGTTAACAAAAAGTGGGTAGGGGTTTCAAAATTTTCTTTGGTGCTGGGTTTGGTTCGAAAAATGCTAACGTATCGGGTTTCGAATAACATGTGACTTTTTTAGTCGAGAGCTGTCTAAGCGAACCCTCTATTTAAGATACACCTCATTATAGGATGCAACTTTCTCAGCCCTAAGACCGTATTTTATATGGAGGTTCAACTGTATTTTGATAACTGTACTCGCTGATTAAAAAAGAAAGAAAACACCTAAAACGAGGTGATAACAACGAACAAACACCTTGATTTTTTGTGTTCTAGAAATAGTAAATAACTAATTAACTTTACCCTTTTTTTGATTAGTCAACCACCTTTTAATTTTTTTTCTTTTATTTTTTTATTTTTAGACTATTATCTTGTATTTATTAATTGTTTTAAAAAATAATTTCTTCTAATGTCTTACCGTTTCGTAAAATTGCTAGGTTTGAATTTTAATAAATTAAATCATTAAAATTTAATTTTTAGACGCTGCAACCGACCAAACTTTGGTTGAGCCTAACTGGGAAGGAATTTTGGAATGTGTGGATTTAATTAGAGGGAAGGAAGTCCCGTAAGTATTTTAATTTGTTAGTTGAATTTAATTGACTTTTTAGGGTCAAGGATGCAATCAAGGCAATTCAAAAGCGTTATCACAATTCAAATCCGCATGTTGCTCATCATGCTTTGATGGTATTGGAAGCTTGTGTTAAAAATTGTGGAAAGAAGGTTTTCATTTTTTGGGCTTATTGTTAGATTGGGCCTTTTATGGGAGATCCAAAGCCTTCCTCCTTGCTCTAAATAACTGGTCTAGAATGACTCAATCTTTGTTTTGGATTGAATATCGAGTTTCTTGTTTAGATTAAGATCTGTGTATTTACTGTACTGTCCTGACCGAGCATTTGAGCTTCTTAATTTAACTTTTAAAAGCTAACAAATAAGCTTATCAGGTTTTTCATAGGTCTGAATTTTTCATTAACTTTGTTCCCTGGAATCGGCCCTGAACATCTATTCAAATTTCTAGTCTGAAGATTCTGTGCTTTCGACCATTTACTTTATATTGTTTTTCTATTTAGTTTATTGCCGAAATTGCAACCAAAGAATTCATGGAAGACTTGAAAAGTTTGGTCATTTCAAACCCTCAAGCCAACGTTCGAACCAAAATACTTGAACTTATTCAATGTTGGACTTCTGCATTCAAAGGCATTTCTGAATATAAAATTGTTGAAGACACTCATTCACTTCTAAAAATGAATGGATTTGAATTTCCGCCTATTGACGAAGCTAAAGCAATGTTTTTGGCAGAATCTGCTCCAGATTGGGCTGAAGGGGATAATTGCTACAGGTTTTGAATTTTTAATGTTTTGAAGGAAAATTTCTTTAAAATTTTAGATGTCGAGTTGAATTTGGCGTTTTTACTCGTAAACATCATTGTCGTGCTTGTGGACAAATATTCTGTGATAAATGCTCGAATAAGCAAATGTTGTTACCTCAATTTGGAATAGAGAAGAAAGTTCGAGTTTGTGAGGCTTGTTTTGATAAAAAGACTGTTCAACAACAACCTAAGGTTAATTTTTAAGGCTATTTGGGTGACGCGTGTTTTGGGGTTATTTTGAGTGGACTGATCCTTTTGGGGGTATTTGATGAGGAACTTTAAATTGGTTCTTTTTTCAGGCTGAAATTAACAAGGCTGCGGAAGATGCTGCTGCACGTGAAAAGGCTTTAAAAGAAGCAGAGGTTTTTGTTGTCTTACAATTAACTCAAATTAATTTTGGCATTTAAAATTTAGGCTAAAGAACAGGAAGAATTGGAACTTGCTTTGGCTATAAGTCAAAGTGAAGCTGAGGCTAAGGTTTTTTTTAAAATGTTTTTAAATGAAAATTTTTTTATTTTTAAAGCAAAAATATAATGGAATTGATCTTTCTTATATAAATAAAGCGACAAATGACAATTCTATTTCTAGTGGATATGGTGGAGGACAAAAGTATGAACCTCCTCCGCAAACTGTTCCAGTTGTTGGTAAAGATGAATCTAATTTGTCTGGAATGGTTAATGATGATGCTAATAAAGATGATCCAATTGATTCTGTTTTGGCTACTTATTTGGACCGTGATTATTGGGAGAGGAAACGCAGGGAAGTTGAGGTTTGAGATTTAATATTGAAATAAATTTGGGCAGATCTATTTCGGAAGTCTTTTGATCCCAAAATCAATCGGACTTTCAAACTTTCGATTGAAGTCCAAGTTAAGAAAAGGATCCTGATTTCGGGTAACCCGACCTATTCTCTTTTCAAAACTTTGATTGGAGTTCGGGTTGAGAAAAGGATTCGGTCCTTGACTACCACCAGGTCCTTGACTACTCTGTGAAAGATTGAGCTGGGTAGATCGTCTTTCACCTTTAAGCTGAAATTCCTCGTTGAATTCTCCTATTATCACATTCCTATTAGTTTTCTTCTAATCTTTTATTTTAAAAAGGAACAACCACTTCGTGCAACAGCTCCACCACCAAGTGAAATATCTATTTCAATATCTTCAAGTATTAGCCAACAACAACCTTTACAGCAAAATGGGAATACAAACAAAAGTTTAACAAAAACTCCAACAAATATTTCTAATGTCAATAACAACACCAATAATTATCCATTAAATGAACCTTTGGATTTTTCAATTTTGGAGGATCAACAACAAATTTCTCACAATCAACATGATAATAGTTTAGCACAAAATTATGCTGCAAAATTAAATATTGGAATGCCTATGGATATTGGGAAAAACGATTCTAATGATGGAGGTGTTGAAGAAGTAGCAGAGACTTTGAACTTTTGTAATGCTTTGAATGAAAGGGTATTTTTTGGATTGATTGATTAGGGCTAGGAAATGAGCCGTCATGAAAATCGGCTCAATCCCTTCCCAAAAATTATTTTTAATTTTTCCTAGGTTGATACAATGAAAACTCGAATGAGAAGTAACCAGTTACGTGGCCGTTCAATTGTTAATGACTCTGCAATTCATACATTATTTTCCCAGCTTACCGAGCTACATGCTATAGTTATACAAAAAATGACAAAATTGGAAGAACAGAGAGGTTTTTTTGAAATTTTTGACTAGAAAAAAATTTTAAATTTTTTTCAGAACATTATGAACAATTACAAGACCATTTAGCTCATATTCAAGAAGCACGTCAAGCTGTAAATGCTTTGAGAGAAGAAAATGAACGTTTACGACAGGAAAGAATTAAAGAAGAAAATAATCGTCGCAAAAGTCAATTGCGTCAAACACTTGAAGTTATGAGGGATAAAAAGAAGGTTTGAATAAATTTTGATAAATGGGAGAGGTGGTTAAGTGGTTAGTGTTGTTGATTTTGTGGGGGGAAAGGGAAGAGTTTATGATGATTAAATTTTAACATCTTTCGGGTCTGAAAAGCTCGTGAAGTGACAAAGTTTCCTTGACTGAAACTCTTTCTAATTTATTTTTTTTACTTGAGGGGGTTCTTAAAAATTTTTTGAGAAATTTTTGTTTAAAATAAATTTTTTTAAAGGAAATGTTAGTTAGCGGCCGTTATGTTGCTATCCAACGTTTTCATGAACAAGAATGGCAAATTCGTCAACAACGTTTATCTTCTCCGCAATTTAACAATCCTGCATTACCAACAATGACTAATCAAGCGCCACCATTAGTTAATAATCCTGTTCCAATTAATATGATGAATAACAACAACAATCCAGTTACTTCAACTCAACAACAAATGATACATAATCCAATGCAATCAATGACAAACACTTCAACAATGCCTCCAATAATGATGAACAATCAAATGACAACAATGACTGCAGGGGTTCAACAGCCTCAAATTATGCCCCATCAACCAACTGTATATTCAGGCAGTCAACCTCAAGCATTGCCTGCTCATTCAATGATGATGTATTCAAGCAATCAAGCTCAAGAGCTGCACGGGCAAGCGATGGGATTCCCAGGCAATCCACCTCAAGTTAATCAAGTTCAACATCAGCCTCAAGGGGGGATGCCAATGATGACTAATAATCCAATGATGAGCAATCATCATCAATCAATGACCATTCCAATGAATTCAATGATGAATACAATGCCTTCAATGACAACAACAATGCCATTGATGAATAATAACATGATGAATAGTAACATGCCACCTATTAATCATCCTCCTTCTCAACAACAATTCCAAATGCCACCATATCATCAACAGCAACAACATTATATAATGCCTCCTTCTACTCAACAGCTTCCGGTAAATCTTCAACAACAACAGAATTCAACGGTTCAAGAAGAGGAACAACAGAAGAAAGAAATTCAAGTGCCCGAAGATTGGTTAATATCTTTTGACTAATTTAACTATTGAAGAAAGGGGGAAGAGGAGAATTCTAAAAAAAAATAAAATTGTGTATATGTGTTAATTTGAAGATGTATGAATTTATTTAAAAATATTTTTTTTCGGTAAAGTGATCAAATTAATAAAAAATAATTTTTTAAATAATAAAAATTTATTTTATTGAATTTTCTAAAATAAATTTTTTAAAATAAATCTGTTTATATATTTTTTGTGTAGTATCCGTTTAATGACGGTGAATATCTTTATTATTTATTTCAGCTTATGAACAGGTTGAATGCCGTGGAAGCAGAAAGCTTGGAGCTGATATTCTCGATTATTTTAATTTGGATTTGATGAAGGTATTGTTTAAATTTTTGGGGGAATTTTGAACTTTGAGGGTACTCTTGCTTCCTATTTTCTTTTTTTATTGATTTAATTTCAAGTTGTTGCTTTCCTTGTCTTGCTAATCCATTTATGATAGACCCCATTTTTTCCTCCCCAAGCTTTTCCTATATATCTACACAAGTCAGACTTCATTTTTTCGTCCATTCCAATTTCCTTTCTAATTTTGTCTACAAACAATCAAAAGGAATTATAATTTTTATTTCCCTTTGGATTGAAGAAAGGAAAAAGTTT